CTGCACCGCCTAGCGGCCTCCGGCACGCGCCCTCGTCTCCACGGCCCTCCGCAGCGCCCTGGGCCTGCCTGCCGCATCTCGCGCCGCCGCCTCCCCCTCCGGGCGGCCCGCAGGCCCTGGCGCATCCTGCGGGCCTCGTGAGAGCGGTGAAAGATCCCGCCTTCACACACGGGCTGCTTGGCTAGCTAAGAAATAAGCATAGAGGTGGCTTCTCCCATCCTAGTATCTTGTCACGCCTTTAAAAACTACCGAAGAATGGCTCTTACATGTCCACATTCACACTTGCGTTTACACACAGGACTTTTAATCAGCTACTTACTTTTTCCTCTTGCAGAGCCACGTACAGAAACTTGATTAATCCTAACATGCCTCTCTGTCCTTCCTCAATGAAAAGCATTTAGTTTGCTCTTTGGCATATGTCTACACGGAAGATCCGTGCAGTAGCACTGTGGTGGTTTGCAGTGGTATTTTTATTGGTCGTTTTATTTTCTGTTGCTTAGCAAGCTAAAGGAAGAGTCCTTACAGAGAGCCTTCCAGGAAAACTCCTCCTTCCTAAAGCTCCATTAATGCTAGTTGCAGTGGATTCTCGGGTATTTTTCCTTATACTTCTGTTTATTGCTATAGCCATAAAATCTAACTTACCTTTTTCTTTTTTTTTTCTGTTGCTTCGTTACTTACAGAAGTAGAGTGCCTCTCCAAGGCTGAAAAAGGAGTCAGAACTATGAACCAAGAACTCTGGACAGTGTAAGTGATCCAGGAAGTTACCACAGCAGAGATAGCACCAACAGGTTTTTTTCCCTGTTGTAGTCACATCTGCCTTAACTGCTCCTTTCACACTGCATTCACTTACCAGTCCCAGTTGTGAAAAAAAAACTCTTGGAAAAGAAACTGAGGGATTGCTTGAGGTCATACTAAACAGTTACATGCCATCTACAAGCAATCAACTCTTTTTTATTTCCTCCTTTTAACTGAAATAGTTCTCCTCTTAAATTACTGTAGAGGATTTTTTCCAGCTTTCTCATTCAAAATGAAAATAGAACATAAGGATATTTTTCTCTGTATTTCCTGAACCAGACCTATTCACCATTTCTTCTCACATGCCTTCACTGAACTGTTGCTTGGAACAGCATCATTTGTCATAACTTAATGTCGAAGGATACAATAGGAGGAAGAGTGTGAGAGTGATCATGGAGTCTCTCAGTATTATTGTTGTTTTCTGCCATTATCCTTAATGTTGCTACCTTAAACAGGTTTTTGTTCAGCTTAGAGGACTGTAACATATTCCATTTTTCTGGGAGTACAACAGCTCAAACCCTTGCAATGGGGTTCTATGGTCTCTCCAGAGATTTCTATCTCTTGATTACGCCCACTGTAATCCTTGTGCCCACACATACCAAGTTCATTCGGGGAACTGACTTGTCTGAAAAAGTGAGTGTATTTGGCAATGATCAAACAAACGAACTCCATAACAATCTCCCTGAATTAACTCATGCAGTCACACGAGCACTATCACCACTGCAAGGGAGAAGAGCTGAGACTACAGCAGAGCAGATGTACATCAGCTTGAGATAACGGGGAAACAAGCTCATGGGCCTCTTTGTTCATCCTGTTTGGCACCTAGAAACACTAAACAGCAGTAGACAGTTGCTTTGACTCTGTGCACTCTGATACAAAGCCAATTATCAGTGGTCCTAGGCTGCCAGGTACAGACTTCAAAAATCAAAGAGCAAACTGGAGATTTCAAACCAAAATGTATATATACGTGTATATACAGTGAATACTCCTTGCAATAATTTACAATTCACATGTATACATAAGTTCCACAAGCACCAAAGTGTGTTGAATAACCAAGACAGGGCTCCCCACGTTCATCTGTCACTTGCACTGAAGAACAGGCTGGAGTCCATCCAGCCTGTAAAAGCTGGGAGAAACGCAATCTGCAAGACCATAAAGTTTAAAATAAATTTAAACAGAAGTTCAAAAAGAAGCTGTCCATTCTGAGAAGGAGAAAAGGAAAAGGAATAGGCAGCTCTCCAAACTGCCAGGATGTTTAGTTCCAGAGGACAATAGCCAAAAAATGGGGTACTGATGTACAAGTTGCTCTTTCACATTTCATAGCTGCACCATGTCTTAAGAGTTCAAGAGAACCAAAGACAATCAGAATTTTGTTAACTAGCATCTGGAATTGTTTTAGATGATATAAAAAATAAGCCCAGAAAGAGAAAATAAAATTAAACAATATTCCCTACCACCACCACCCTACCCGCCTAATCAAGAATGAGGGGCAACCTACTGGAACAGGTTGCCCAGAGAAGCTGTGGATGCCCCATCCCTGGAGGTGTTCAAGGCCAGGTTGGATGAGGCTTTGGGCAACCTGGTGTAGTGGAGGATTTCCCTGCCCATGGCAGGGGGGTTGGAACTAGATGATCTTTGAGATCCCTTCCAACCCTAACCATTCTATGATTCTATGACACAGTATTTCAGTACTCCACAGGTGATTAGAATTGATTTAATTTTTATCAGTTCTAAGTTATCATTTAAGTTCTGAAAGTAATTATTCACTTGCTTTGAAGCTTCTCTGGTAGGTTTTTTTGTTGTTAGTTTTCTTTAAATAAATACCAGTCTTCTCTGTTTTACTATTCCCAATTCAATTAATCATCTAGTGCTACAGTAGTAATGCCAATAGTAAATGATTGTGCAAACCTTGCAGACACTATCATCCACTACCCAGTTTCTCATATCAACCTTCAATTTGCCCATCATCCAATTTAATAACTAAATCAGTGAGCATTGTATAGCCACAGTTAAAGTGTGGCTCTGACACCAACTCATCCATACATTTTTTCACATTCCTTATATTTGTTCAATTCATAGTGCACACAAATGCACGTACAAATAGCTCCTGACAGAACTCTAACTCAGCAGTGAATTAATCTACAGAACAGTAAAAATGGCTTATGTTCTTACTCTTAGCATATTATTTTCAATCTTCAAGGTTTAGTAAAATTAAGATAATGCAAAAGCAGTGTCATTGCTTTCTACTGTTTTTTGAAGTGAGTTGCGGTTGCAAAAAAATCATTAGGTTCTTCTTTAACTGCCAAAATTATTAAAATTTTCAGTCCCAAAGCAGTGAAGAGAAACGGATGAATGAACATTCATTTTAAAAAGGAAGCATGAACAGAACATACTTGGAACGCACAAAGTTCTCATCTTCCAAAGTAAAAAGCATATAGAGAATAAAAGCAGGTATCTATTTTTGAATTGCAATTCTTTAAAGTCTTCTCAGGCATCCCCTCAGGACTGGTGCTGTTTGTAGGACAGTACTGGAGACACTGGCAGAACTGGTGATATTGGAGTTGTAGTCAACACCTGATTCTGGAACACAAACATTTTAATCCTACCAAACACCCAAAGAAAGATAAGGAGAATACTGACATACTGGATCCAGGCAAATTTCATAATTTCCCAAAATCCTGGCTGATATTTAAAGAAAGTCAAGGAGTGTTAATGAAGAAGCTTCTGATACTACCACTGCAATGATGAAACAAAGGAACTCAGACGTGAAAAGGTACAAAACTCATTAGACATCAGTTTGTGTGGCAAACGCAAAGCCTTTGAGCCACGGAAACCTCTAAAAGCCTTTTATTGTAGTATATAACAAAAGCTGCACAGAACCGTCTGTCCTAGGAGACATTTAAACCAATTCTGTGGAAAGTGCCTATTTTGTCCCTGACTCACCAGAAAGTAGTTATTGGTAACACTCAGGCAGGTAAACAAACAAGAACTGTGCTCCATACAGATTCTTTTAGACACAGGCTTGTTCTTGTCTAAGAAATTGAGTAAACAATGTAATGAACGAATAATTATTTTGTAGAAAAAAAGATTCAGGTCTGTTTGCGCATGCAAGAGATTTGCCATATCCACTGCAGGTGTTATTATTTGGTGAGCTTACCTTGCATACACTTCTAATGATTTGCTTTAGGTCACCGAATACAGTATTGTGCTTTGCTAGTGACATCCATGACAGATTGGGACAGCAGGTGCTGCAGGAGCAAGACTTACTAAGGATATTCACTGTGAATGGCTAAGAAACTGCCTTAAAGGCCAGTTTAGTTAGGCTGGAAAGCAACACAGGTTCCCTCTAGAAAAAGGCAAAAAATGGTTATGCAAGCAGAACCATCTGGAGGAACAGGCAAACAGAACCATAGCGCTTGCTTAGCTAACAAAGGAAAAGTTTAGCAACAAGTCTAGAAGAGTTTTCATTTGGCCATATGTGAAGGCGCAAATAACGCAACGCAGTTACGTCACAGTTTATGCAGTTTTCAAAGGATATAAGATAACTTCCACTGGGTAATGAATAGTGGCATTAATGATAAATGGTGTATCTGTTGCTCTTCCAGTCATCCAAACAGGGTTGGGATCTGAAAAGACTGTTGTCACTAAAATGGGGAAAGGAAACATCCAGGTTAAGGGGCTTTCCAGTCTTAATACAGAACCCAAATTCTCATAGAATAGCTGCTAATATGCTGACTACTGTTGTCCTGTAATTCGCAGCTATACATTCAGGCTTACCATTTCTATCCCCATATGCTGCAATGATGTTTGTTAAATCATAGTCACTTGCAAAAGGACTTGTGCCGTTGACCACAGACACCTATTACAACAAGGAGACACTTGCATTATTTGTCCACTCTTCGAGAAAGTAATTCTACTGAGTTTCTTACACAAAGTAACCATGCCCATAAAGGAATGCATATAAACATCAGACTGAACATCTTGGCAGAATAACCTCTTCTACCTTTCAGCCTAACAAGAAAACACCAAAGTTCTCGGGTCCACTCTGTGCAGGAGTATAAAAATTAGGGTGTCACCTAAGGTACTAGGAGGATAAAGAGAGCGGGGAAACAGATAGGGAAGGAAAAAACAGTTTCCTTACATTGTATCTGGTATCCAGTCCACAATGGTTAAGTAATTGCCTCTGGTTCAATTTCAGGTCTCCGTTCACATAGAGCTGAGACCCTGGCACAGGAGAAAAAAACTGAAGAAAAGCCATGGTCTGCATCACAAGCGTTGACATTCTCTAAAATGGTGAACACAAGAAAAGAGAATTTAGAGGAGGGGAGAACACAACACACTTTTCTACCTCTTTGAATCTACAGATTTTCTGCATGGATTTGATTTTTTTGGTCTCCCAAGTTTCAGATTATCACATTAGTCTAAACAAGGGAACACCAAATAGGAAATATGAATTACCTTTTTTTAAGTCAACTACCTTAGTTGTTAGTTAACTAACTTTATAAACCAAACAAAGTTCCACAGGAAATTCAGTGAAGTCCAACAGTCTGTGGCTAACAACAGAAAGATTTGACTTACCATAACATGTGGAAACCAGCAAGATGACTAAATATATGAATTGAAGGCACACTTTAAAATACTCAGCAGTCAAATCCAGCTAAGGACTATTGCTCTGCAATAACGACCAAACAAAGAAGTTCCTTAGTCTTTCTAAACCCCTCCCAGCTACAAGATACATAAGATGATTACCATTGTTTCAAGAGTTATTAAGTAAGCAAAATCTCTAGTTTTAGGCTGCTGCAACAGCCTTTCCCTTCACCTTAGAAAACTAACTGGTTATGTCAAGACACAGCAGTATGTAAGAATGCACATCCTTCTGCCTACTGCAAGACTCTCAGTTATTTCCTGATGCCACCCACACTGACATCCACGTGCAACTCTGTTCTCTATGCTGCACTACAGCCCAAGAGAATAGATAGCTTCCAAAAATAATTAAATAAATAAAATCTAATGAGTAACCACTGCTGGAACATTACACTGGGTCTAGATGTCACAACAAATAAAACTAAAAATGCTTACATAAAGGTGATAGGAAAAGAGCAGAATCAGCTGAACACCAACTATGTGCTCTGTAGGTTGTAGTGGAAGTTCCAATTTAAAATGCAACTGATCCATTTTGCCATCTTGATTTTTGTCTTCTTCTCTAGTCTAAAAGAGTCAATAAGATTTTTTTTAAAGATGGGAACTTCTGTTAGAAAGAAAAACAAAAAAGGAAAGCAATAAAAAGCTGCTTGACTTTATAGACACAGGACTAGAGACAAGCAAGAAGCCTGCATTTTTGTCTGTTACACAATGTCTCATATGTCCCCCAGGGAGGGAAAGCTCATCAGACACTTCAAGGTCTCTTCTGCCCTATGCCATTCCATCTCCACTGCATGCTACAAAGCATGCCTTAGTGCTGGATCTTCTGTCACATCGTGTGTGAATGCATGACTGATGGTCATGCAGCATTGCAGCCTGCCCCTCAATGGCCTCTGTATGCCAATTCTTGGCTGTGAGTGCAGGTTTGCTACACTTCTGTGCCACAAATGCCCAGCACTTCAGCTATTTGCAAACATAACGGGACTCATAACAGAGGTAACACAGAAAAATAACTGCCACTGTTGAATCCCAGAAGGAACAACGGCTGCAGGGCAGAGGCTATACGCTTTACAAAGCACATACCTGCTTTCAAAACCTGGGGCTACCTACCAATCCCTTCAAACTTCAGGTCTTGATAAGCCATATGGCAGGGCAGCAGGGGGTAAAGCAACGCAACTGATTTGAGGAAAGTAAACTGATGTGTTCATGCAAACCACTAGTGTTGCTAAGGGACGTGGTTTAGTGGTGGACTCAGTGTTAGGGTAATGGTTGGACTTCATCATCTTAAGGGTCTTTTCCAACCTAAATGATTCTACGATTCTGTAACACTGGGAAAGAATAAAACTGGAACTGTTAAACATCACTTGCCCCAAGCGAATTTTGCTGTGAGTCACGAGCAATGCATGAAGCTGCTGCTCCTTGAAGACAGCAGCGCACGACAGGCTGCTTGCTCACAGGCGCCACCAGCACTCATCCCCTGATCCCACTCTCCAGCCCCACTTCCCCCCACCACTGCCGGGCCC